GGTACTCTCTGCTGTAAGCATGCTTCCGGCGAAGCCTTATATCTACTTGTTTGACCCTCATGTCTAGTTCCCCTTCACGTTTGCTCCCGAGCTTCTCGTTGCAACAGGTGGCGAGATGCAGTCACCGCGTCGCAACTTGCCTACTGCGGCACGCAGATACATATACCGCCTACTCTTCTTCTATGTTGGCAGCGTACTGGCTATCGGAATCATTTGCCCCTCCGACGACCCCATCATTACGTCTGGTGGTTCCGGAGCTGGCTCGTCGCCCTTTGTTGCAGGAATTAAGAACGCTGGCATCCCCGTGCTGGACAGCATCATCAACGCAGGTATCATCATCAGTGCATGGTCGTCCGGAAACTCCTTCCTATTTTTGTCCTCGCGCTCGCTATACGCGCTCGCCCTGTCTGGCAACGCACCTTCCGTCTTCAAAGCATGCACCAAGTCCGGTGTACCGTATTGGGCTGTTACTGCCTCTTCGTTGTTCTGCGTTCTGGCATACCTAAACGTAGGCAGCGAGAGTGCGGTCGTCTTTAACTGGTTCGTGAATTTAACAAACACGTCTGGATTCATCTCCTGGATCTGCTGCGGCATCATCTTTCTGCGCTTCCGGAAAGCCTGCGAAACGCAAAACATCACGGATCTTCCATATCGCTCACCGGTGAACAAGTGGGGTGCTTGGTGCGTCATCATCAGCTTTACAATTCTCTGTTTGGTCAACGGGTTCGATGTCTTCTGGCCTGAGAAGTGGGACGTTAGCTCTTTCTTTACTGCGTACGTGGGTATTCCCATGTTCTTCCTGTTCTATGGGGGGCATCGGATTTGGGCCTGGAGCGATAGTTGGGCTTATGATCCAGCAGAGGTAGATCTGAAGACGGGTATGGATCAGGTGCTTGCTGAGGAGGTGCCGGCGCGAACAATGAATATGAAAGGGCCATGGTGGAAGAAAATCACCTTGCTTTGGCAATAGACGCGAAGGCGCTTCGAAGAGCTGTACGACAGGGGCAGGCAGCTATCGGTTCTCCCAAGTCATGTTTTTGTTCTACCATCATTCATTATGCAACATCTCGGACATTGCCCATCAAGCCTCTTCTCTTATATCCCCCTCCCGGACGGTCCCGTAACGTCCTGACTGAGGGAAGGAGACATGCCCGTGTCATTTTCCTAGCATCCTCCGATGGAATCTGATGGAAGGAAGCACACCATCGTCTTCGGGGCCCAGGCTTCGCAATGGTGGGTACTCAAGATAGCAGCACGTGAGGGTCAGAAGAAGCTGCGTAGCTCCGGACGAAATTAGCGCCAAACGTGCCGCCTGCGTCATTGACCAGCTGGAGGGAGGTGGGGCCGGGTGGCTGGGTACCGCATCATCAACATTCAGCCGACTACGCTACTACGCTTGTCCATTGCTTCATCATCTGCAACCGACTACCGTATCTTCCCTAACTTCATCAAGTTCATTCTGGTACAATCCATCTCAGTCGTCTTCATCTTCCTTCTTCCGCTGGCGGTTCAGCTCATCGATAACCTTCTTGCCACACGCCAAAACCTCCAGTGTCCGACTCTTGTTATCGTGGTCTCTTGTTTCCGGGACCAAGAAATATGTTGTTACGGCACCTGCTAGCATGAAAGCGCTCATTACTTGCAGGATATGTCCGAAATTCTTGCGTTCCCATTCAAAATCGCTTGTGGGTTCGGATTTGTCGGATTGGAATGCATATGCCAGAAAGACTTGCACCACCCAAGACCTATGGTGCGAGTTTTCGAAGTCAGTAAATGTCTCATATGCAGTTCTTCCGCGGTTTGTCCTCACCCGAGTTTGCCACTAGCCGCAGCTATGCCGTGGCAGGTGCACCGGTACCTCGTAGGGAATATCTCGGCAGGGATAACTTGATGCACGAAATTAGTAGATGTTTCACAACAGGTCGCACACGGATATCACTTACTAAAAGTCGTCACATTCGGTCCCAGGTTGAAGGCGATGTGGCTGAGCACGTAAAGCACAATGAGTCCCGAGCGACTGCTGTCGAGTAGGTTGGTCCAAGCACTTCCGGTTACGATGAAGAGAACGAATAGAACCAAGAACCCCCAGAACTGAATCACTTTTGGCGAAGCATGCTTGACAATCTTGATCATTAGCAGGCCGCCGACAACTGTCCCTATGGAAACCATCACCAGGGTGTGTTTGCTATTATCACTCAACGTCTGGTAGACGGAAGATCTGCTGTTGTTGTTTCCCTGCCAGATGTGGCTGACAATTTCTGGTGAAGAGAGGCCCAACCCATAGACTGTCTCAAATTTAGTGGTTTTACCGCAGTGGTCTGGCAGTGTACCTACACGCGAAATCGAGAAACAGCCAGGCCAACGACGTTCCTAGAAGGTTTTGCCAGTTTTTCTCCGCTATAAAGAATTGTTTTGCGTCGGCCCACGAGGCAAGTGGAGGAACAAAATCCGGGTCGCCTGGAGGAAGCCGGCCGCGGGGCGCTGCGGCGGGACGAAGATGTACGTCACTGAGGCGGTGTCCGGAGTCACTGTCGCTCTCAATCTCCTCGTCGGGTGCAATCACCGAAGCGTTGGTCGATTGCCTCGATACAGGCCTCGAAACTTCCTGTGTTGCAGCCAGATCTAGCAGTTCCCTCTCGCCATGTTCGGGGTCTGTTCCGGGCGCACCAAAGTAGTTCGCCGTATCTTCGAGGGTGCTTTTTGTGTTTTGCAAGATGTCCAGCGTATACCTCGGACTCTCTGGTATCGTGAATCGAAACAGCAGAGCGATGAGAGCCGGCACAATGCCGATCCCAACTACGAGCCTCCAAAGTCGATCGATAGCTCGGAAGCACTCCAAGTCGGCAGGCTGACAAGACTGCGTGGCCTCCTTGATCCATGGCTTGTACGACTCCACTGCAGCAAGTGATAGAACATTGGCGAGCAGCTGTCCAACAGGTTGGGCGAAGAAAACCCAGCTCAACATTCGCGCACGATGTTTGCGAGGTGCGAACTCGGCAGTAATGACCTGAACCCACGATTAGCATCAGCACGGTCACGTTGGAAACAATACCTACAGCACTCAAAGGGTAGTCCGCCCCGATACCGATCCCTAGTTATCGTCAGTCTTACGATGCATTCGTACATCAATTCGCTTCTTACCCATGATCGCTCGCCAGGTGATCAGCCATCCTCCAATTGCCATGCTGTTCTTCTCCCCGTTCGAACTCATGAGCAGCAGCATTGTGCCAACGATGACGATTACCAGCTCAAGACCATACATTTTTCGTCGGCCCAATATGTCTGCCGCGAAGCCGAATCCTATCTGGCCGACCATTGTACCCGCTAGTGTGGAACACATCATGGCTGTCTTGACAGAGGACGGCACCGAGGGTATACCGCCTTCGTTGCGATTAGGCCAGTAGACATAACCGAGCATGGGGGTAACGACATTCAAAGCAAAAAGGCCGAACGAATCTGTTAGGAAGCCGATCCCAGCTACTACTACTACCCAGACTTGGAAGGGCGCTGAATCAATCGTCGCGAGAGTCCACCGTCGACGCCTTATCTCCTGTCCATCGGATTAGCGAGAGAAGATCGATCTTAGGACTACTACGAGTGGCAGAGGGAAACCTACCGGTATACCGCTCCCGCCTGTTGTCATGTCCGGCACCCCAACTTGATGGCCTCTCATTGGACGCATGATCCATTTACGCAGGCCCATTGTAGCGATAGGGGTGACAGAACTGTAACAGTATGGTAGTTGTACCTACGTGCGAGGGTTCCGGCAATAGTCAGTATGTAACGGGGTCTGTCGTGCAGAACCGCCTTGGGGCAGCATCTTTCATATTGTGAATGCGCAAAGCTTCAGCCTCCACCATGACACGGACTACCGAAGGCAGATTTCAGACAGCGTGCATAGCCCGATACCACAAGGCAAACCGGTCAACAGAAGAGGACGTATGCGAACTGGCGCTATTCGTGCGTTCTCAATCAGCGCATCCAATCTCGTTTGGTTCGCCGAAGTCAGGCTTGGTGGCGTTCATTGCCGCGATCCAAGCGTCCAGGCCTTCATCACTGGAGTCCTTTGGAGTGTGTGGTTGCTGCTGATGTCTAAATCATGGTGCATTCTCCGGCTCCTCCCGTCTGCGATGCTTCCGAGGTCGTTCAGCTGCGAACGCTGCGATGAGTGGGCAACAGCATCTTGCTTTATGAAATCCGGTTCCTTGTGAGTTCGTGCAGGCTGCATCAAAACATGTTCCGAGATTCCAAGGGAAAGCCACACGTGGCTGAATCGAGCCCTGGAGTTGGCTGGCCCGTCTGGTAGTCGACCATGGCCGTTCGCTCCCCCACGTGTTGATCTTCGCAACCTCATTGAACGCCAAAAGCTACTATGCCGAATTAGGCGTACCATTCTAATACCGCCACATGCACAAACACGAGCTGTCCGCCACCTTTGGATAAGCTCATGTCTGCCCTGGGCTGCCCTGATTGCTGCCGACAGTAGAAGGCTTCGACGAGTTTGCGTGCCTGAGCGGTAGCAGGATGTCAGCAGCGCCGTGAGCCACCCCCCAGATGCCGGAGCGGTCTACCTTAGGCTAGCTCTATCGGAAGCGTGACGAAGAGACGACCGTAAGCTCAGGTGGTTCTTACTACACCAGCTTGTCCTTTTCATGGAAGCCTGATGCTTGGACGATGATTGTCCCTACTGTGCACCAACAGTTCTATAACGTATGAGCAGTCTTTACACAAACTCTGTTGCGCTTGAGCGCGGCGCAACCCTACGAATATGTCCTTTGGGTGCAGTCCGTCCGATGTTCTGAAATTGTTGGAGATTTCGACCCGTGTATATCTTGCGTTCAAAGGTATGGCGCCAGCTACCCCCCTCTGGTGGCAACCGTCAGGGACCACCTCGCTCATCATTGCAACTAGATGCCAACGAAAATTCGGAAGCGCAAGTCAGTGGGCTTGTTAAGGAATTCACCACATTCCATGGCTGTCTCAAAGAGCTGGGCGAGCTAATGAGACAATATGGCCAGCCGCTACGTGAGCGTTCATCTGTGTACTACATTTGCGGCATGCACTGACGCGAGATAACAACGCGCAGCATTCCCTGTCCAGGATTTCGAAGACACGCTGAAGAAGTGTGAAAAGACCTTGGAGCCATACGCTGAACATCTCGTCGATAAGAAGATGACCGTCAAGAAGTTCATCTTCACGATCAGATACATCGGGATGGAAAAGGAGATCGATGGGCTGAGGAAACAGATCAGCGGCCATTACCAAGCGCTGAACATGTGCATTTCCTTTCTGCAATTGTAAGCCTCTTTCGTACTCGAAACAACAGTCGCTGACCGTCGTTAGGCGGCTACATCTCGAGGCAACCAAGCAGACTCAGCGTCTTCTCGACGCTGCGCCGTCTCGTACAGTAAATTTAGGCGGCCGCGCTTACTCCACAAACACTCTTGGTGTTCCAAGCAACCGCGCACCACTGGCACTCGCGTCTTCCGACGAACACCCGTTGTTCAGCGAATGGAAAATCTTTGATCGATGGCTGCAAAGTGAGGACGAACGTGTTGCTCAAGAAGCGGGACTATCGCGGCCTCTTTCTCTGGGAGACACACCTGCTACGTTTTCTACTGGTGATGTTCAGACAGCTGCTGTACTATATCATCTGAGACGGCAGGTCGATGACGCGATTTTCATCGAGGAGAATCGCGCAAAGCGAGCTACGGCGGAGAAACGCTCACACTTGGTCCCAAGCGACGCGATGAAGCAGCAGGTCCGCAACATGCCACCAGCTCCATTGCGAACCTATACCCTCGAGACAGATCACTCCGGGAACTTCACCATGTTTGGCCAAGACAGCTTGAGTGACTCCACGGGCAGCAACCGCCCGACCTTGAGTCTACAGCCATCGTCTCCAGATTACTTTGGATCAGTCGATTGGTCGCAGTCGCCTAGACCGACATCGCTTGAGCCTAATAGGATACCTTTTAGTTCCACAGTTGCCTGTAGCGAAAGCTCTTCGCCCGCATCACCGTCGTCAACGGGTACTGCCTCAGAGAAGCCCTTATCTCCCACTTTGCGGCGCAGTCTCTCGCGTACATCCCTGGCAACCATGACATTAGGAGACGCTGCACTCGACTGGAAGCGAATATGTCGCAACGTTCAGGTCGAACGAAAGTCTCTGAAGTACGGATCCGAAAATCACGAGTGCGAGGTTCGGTGGCGATATCGAGAAGATACTGGCATCTCGCTGCGAACAGTCTATCACTCTAGCCAAGACGGGAAGCTTCGAACATGGACTGAACAGCACTTTCCTGCTACCGGGCCAGCGATACCCTTGACTACCACGTATGTTGACGGTGCAGTGTCTGTCGATTTTCCGCGCAGCTCGTTCGGGAAACTCAACAGGCAGTATATTGACATCAAGTACACGTTCATTGGCCACGAAGCAGCAAACAGATTCCAGACCTTGTTGTACACCAACAACGGTGCCGACTCTGCTAATCTCGAATTTGATCGACCCATATCGAGCATATCCTCGGATCACAATCCGACTGAATGTCGTGGAAGAAATTTGCGGCTGTGGCGGCGTACCGAGACGCATCTAGCCGATGGTGGGCTCGTTACGTCTGAGGTCTTGATTCTGCTGTTTTACACGAGCGCATTGGAAGAGGATGGGCACTGGGTCGAGGAGCCGCACTACGCATTCGAATGGCTCACGGAGTCGGTCTATAAGAAAGACAGTGACAAGCTTACGCTTCTCTTCTCAAAAGACGCACCGCGTTGGGCGACTGATAAGGTTTTCAAACGCCGCAAGTCATCCACACAGACGGATTCCGAAGCAGCGAATCCGTCTCGCAAGAAACGCAACGACTCTATGGAAATGCTACGGTTTTCTCGATCAGACAGCGTTACTTCAGGGTCGTTGAGCGGCTCGCCGATTCCTTTGAAAGATATATCGGGAGGTGGTGGTGGTTTCTCGAGGGCTGCTAATCTGAACCGGTTTGGGTATTCGGCGTTAGAGATCAAGTTCCAGAGCAGGAAGGACAGGATGGCGTTCTTAGACATCTGGAAACAGTACGTCAAGCCGCTGAGTGTGTCCTGAAGATTGCAATGGGCAGATAGAAAGTACAGGGCGCATTGTACTGTACCGTGGTTTTATGCACAGATATCCGGAAGTCCGACCTTCCAAGCAGACGGACTGTTGAAGATTAATATTTGGAACAAGAGGTGTGCGATGAGAAAGGCTCCAAAGTGAATGTAGTCGTCTTGTCAAGCACAGACAGGGCATACTGGTTGCTGTAAAGCTTCACGAAATCTAATTGAGACGAACATCGCTTTGTAATGCTAGTAGCGACAATCACAAAGTTTACAAAACTGCCTCGTTATTGAAGAAGTGTGCACGGCTTCGATCGAAAACACCTGATTGCGGGCACCACGGATGCGCATGACACGTCGTCCGCACGGACTTTGCGCTTATCCAACTCGGGTGCTGCACATGTATTACGTATCGGTCTATGATGTACTCAGCGATGACACGTTGGGAAATGCAATGAGGCATTGTCCGCGGAATGAAACCTACATGGGATCGTAGCAGGACTTATAAGCGAGTCCGACTCATTGTTGAGGGCGAAGGGTTGGAAGGCGAGGGCCTGGATCCTGTGGGCGGCACATTTCATTTTACCCGCATCAAGTTGTCCTTGCATGTACGTATACGAGAAGGCGTTCCGATGAAAGATGTACCCCTCATATTTGAAGCAGTCATGATCTGATTGGGAGTTGGGGCGAGAGCTAGATAATTACAAAAAGCCACCTTTCATCACGCTTATCACAGCTTGGAACCATGACGGAAGCACCTCAGAGCTGGAAACAGCTTGTAGTAGAACTTTTGAATAATGAGAACCATGACCAGTAATGACGGAATGTTGCGCGATCAACAGTATGTAGACATCCATGTAGAAGTAAATCAAATACAGGTCTTATTGGCAGCCATTTTGCCGAACTCATCCACATTCAGGACAGCACCTTCTGCATCGTATTCAATCCTGACCTGCTGGTTGCTCGAGACAGAGGGATCGCCTACAAGGTAGTTGAGCGGTTCGAACCTCATGGCCGAATGAGCAGAGCTGAACATAGTATTGGGCAAGTCGCCGGTGTGCGGAAGATGGTGCATGCCGAGATTGAACCAAAGTACTCTGTGTTCTGTTAGTAGTTGATATATTACGGGGTGCAGTATCAACAATAGATGGAGAAAGGAGGTGGGTTTACGAACAAATCTTCTTGATCCAGACTCTCGTCGTCAAAGAAAGTCTCAAAGTTGACAAGCGGATCGTCCTTGGAGAACTGGTTATTGGCATCCGCAGCCCTTGGCTCAGTGTCCTTTTGCTGTGTGACATAGAAGTCGTGAGTCACAAAGGCACCTGTCTTGCCAGTGTTTGTCGAGTTCGTTTGTGTAAGGTGGATGGTGCCGGCAGATCTTTTGATTCTGTAACCTGGGTACTCGCCATACGGGTTCGGTGTGTCCCTATTGACAATGGCGTACAACACGTTATCGTTCTCGGCCCAATTGATCATGGACTCGCTCTCGTCGGCTACCCAAGATCGCTCAGCCTTGAATGTATTGTATACGCGACCCTGGCTCCAAGGATACGCTGTCGAAGTCGGCACAAACTGTAGCTTTTGTACACTGTTCTTCCTGCCGTTGATGTCAAGATCGACCTTGAAAGTGAGGGTGTGGTCGTGCGAGCTACCCGAAAGGAAGTCGTGTATATGGAAGCCGTACTCAGGCTGATCCTCCCAGTAAGCAGCGGCAATGTATCCAGAAAAGCGTGAAGAAACCTCGATACCGCCATCGTAGAAGAAGCTGTAGTCGATGAGGAAGTCGTAGTTGCCTACTGTGGCTACCGTGCGCATGACGAACTGGATGTTCTTTGCTACGCTAGTGTGTGGCGCGGATGGTGAAAAGGAATGGCGACGGATTGGGTAGCCCGCGTCGAATTCGAACAAACATATAGCGTCGGCTTGTGTCTTGACCGTGTCGCCTTCTGTCCATGTTGCAGGTAGGTATGTAGCATGACTAGGGCAGTCATAGCCTCTGACAAGAGGCTGCAAGGTCGATCCCATACCACTCGTGGTATCGAAGAAGGTCGCTTGTGATTGGAAAGGGTCGGAGCCGGAGTATGATGTCAGAGCCTCCTGCAAGGACAACTCGTAAATGATGCGTCTGCCTTTGTATTTGATGTCAAACAACGACAGGCCAAGGTCCTGAGAGACGGCATGATAGAGGGTGAAGTCCATCCAGGATATATATCCCTCTTCCGTATCGATCTTGAATCGCTGGTCGCCCTGAGCGACAGAAGCCGGCGGCGGTAGGTTGTCCAAAGGCATGGGCGTTCCCTGCCTGTCGGTAGACGTCCAGTTTCCCAGTACGTTTGGTGGTGGCGTCTCATAGTCGGGAGCGTTAATTGCGGCACGGAACTCTTCTGTGCTGGCGTAAAATTTGCCATACGAGTACCAACCGACAGCTTTCCAGGTATCCGAGATTGGTCCGGTCAAGTCAAATTTCACAGCGAATCCGAGTGGCTCGACGGTAACACTGCTGAGATTGGTGCCAGGGTCCGCAAATGCTCCTGCCCAGGAGATGGTTCGGCCTTCTTCATCCCAGAACGGGCTTCCAAATCTAAGACCAATGCTACCAGTAAGAAAAGTCTGTATGCATGTAAGCCTTTGTTGTTGTATGTTGTGGCTGGCTTCCACTCACAGTGTTGAACAATTGCATTGAGATATCCTCAGTCTCTGTCGCGAACCTCGTAAAGAAACTCGTCGCGTCGCTGGGTGAATACATGGGATGCATTTGTGTTCGACCTGGTTGGGAGTTTTGGAACGGGAAAGTCAACGGTTCGACCGCAGTCGCATTGGTTGCTGGCAACGGTCCCACCATGTACTCTTGCCAGTGCTTGTCTGTCGAGTTGGTGGTACCGCTTTGAACAGTAGCTCGCGCATAGCGCTTTGGAGCCGTAGCATTGCTGTCAAGGAAGGGAAGAGTATCCGTCTTGTTGGGATGAAGAAGAGCAAGCTGTACTCTGATATCGTATTAGTGTCCGGCGAGTGAGAGGTGTGTAGCAATGGTCGACTTACACGTAACTATCGCGGCTAGATCCTTGGTTGCCAGTCAAGCTCATTCGCTCTTGGAGAAGTTCATTGACACTAGCAGCTTCCTCCTCGGAAAGGGTCTTCCACGGGTTTTCATGCGGTGCACTCACTGTGGGCTGGCGGTCGTTGATCGTGTTATCCTGCGCTGTGGAGAAGGTGACCAAGACGGCAGCACCAAGCGTTAAAGAAGAAGTCCACTTCATGTTGAGCAGGACGAAATGGAACGAGCGTGCCGTTTCCGACGTGCAGACCTCTGCAGATTATATGCCCGTCTACTGGCCCATGCCTTTGTGGTAACACGGTAGGTCTAGGGGCGTTCGTGCTGTCATCGTGCGTGCGCATCCCCGTGGCTGGCTCGCGTCCTTAGCGACGAGAAGCTATGCCTCAGACATCGGTTTGTTGAGCAGCCTCAAAAAATAACATCACACTGTTGCTTTGCCGCACGCCGTAGGCAGGAAAGGAAGTGATCAGCGCCAGGGTCGCTTTCTGCATGTTGTGCAAGGGAGATTCAGCTCCACATCCGAACGTCACGGACGGAGGCGCCTCCTTTACATGATGCAGCTGCAGAAACGATTCTCGCGACAAGAAACACGAGTGGAGACGCAGAATCGGGAAAAAACATGTTGCTCGAGTGTAAAGGTGTGCCCGAAATGTGGTAGAAGTGTCGCGCACGACTGGTAGCTCAGGGGCGGAGCCTGCCTTCCGGAAGCTTGGTACGGTAAGGTACCCCGCAGAAACAATACCGGGAAGAAGTAACTAAGCAAACAAGCTTTTTCTGGCTACCTGTCGGTTCCAAAATTTGGTCGCCGATGCTACCTACCTAGATGCGCGATACATGCTTCTGGAATGCTGCAAATAGAACAGCCTGCGTTCGCTCACACCCCCGTTAGTGGACACCTGCAGTGTCTTCACGTGTCCTGCCCTTCGCCACGCTACACCGTTCCAAATCCCAACCTCTCGTCATCGCCTTCGGTTGTCTGGCCTCTGCTTCTCTCCTCTACTCTGCGTTTTGCGGTCCTGGTCCCACTTGCTCCTTCTCTCCGCAAGTCCTGGCTTGTCTTTCTTGACTCCTTGTATCTGGTGCTCCAGGACTTTCCCCATCACAACCAACATGTTCATAGCCGACTTCATGGCTATGAACATTTTGGAGCTCCGCTCTGGTGTCATGACCATGTATACCTTTGCGTCTGTTGCTAGAAATTCTTCCAAAACTAGGAGATCGGAATGAGCGGGGTTGCGAAGAGCAGCTTTGAAAGCGATCTGGTGGACTTTCCGGGCGGCTATATATTGGTTCGACATTATTCAATACGCCTATCTGGACAGCGTTGTGATGTTGCTGTTATTTCAAGCGTATATTCCCGGTCACGGTGCAATGGGAGCGAGAACATGCGCTTTCGTTTGTATAGATCCATTTCTCATATTCTCGTCACCTTTCATCAGTCCCAGCACGCGATAATCAAAATCACCAGTCCGTCGTCCGTGCGTTCGTTTGCGATTGCAAAAGGACGAATCAAACTTGAGCACAACGCCGAAGCAGAAGGCGTATTCCAGAAGCCAAAGCGATACGCAATACGAAATGTACAACGCTAAACGACCATGGTATATCTGAGCTTTTCTGCACAATCATAAACAAACAGTCCCAAGTCCACATACAATAATTTGCAAAGCAAAAACACGCTGTTCCTGACGCTGCCACAGCATGTGCATAGCTGAGCGAAGGAAGCACGGAGGAAATGGCCAAGAGACGTAAGACCAGCCAAGCGCATGTACACGATGACGTACAAGACGCGAACGAGGAACACAACACAGGGTGTGCCGTAGGATCGATCGCAATATACCACCGCTGCAATTGCAACTGCTTTGTCTCCATGTGATTCAATCTTACTTCTTCTTCTTGACAGAATCCTTGCGAGCGGTGGTACCAGCAGCCCATCTGAAGAACGGTGATGGGGCGGGCTTCTTGCGGGAAGAACTCCCAGAGCTGCCACTACCGCTAGGCATGACAACAACTGCAGGTGGGGGTGGTAGCGGACCGCCAGCAGAATGCCCAGGAGGTGGCGGTGGTGGTGGTGGAGGAGCCATTGCTCCCGCAGGCAAGCCGACTGGAGGGGGTGGGAGTTGCACAATGTGTGCATGTGACAGAGATTCTCGCTTCCGGCTCTTGTCCCTCTTGCCCTTTCCCTTTAGTGGAAGATGGCTTGACATGAACATTTGAGCGTCCGGTGGAGGGGGCGGTGGCGGAGGAAATGCCTCCTTCGGCGGCTCGGGCGGAGGTGGTGGAGGCTCAGGCATTGGCCACATGTGCATGGTGATGGCCCAGTCGGGTTGAATCATGGTTTCCCAAACCTGGGGCAGGATGATCTCGCCATCAGGTCCGACGAGGTCGTAGTGGCCTTCATGCACATGAGGACCAATCACATCGACATGCAGGAAAGCTTGTTTGATCAGTTCTTCCATACCCTGATAGAATGTTAGCATTGGACTTGAACTCGTTGTTGGTGGGACATGCCTTCCAAGTCTTGCATAGTTCCCACGGAAAGCTAAACTTGCGGCCAACGGCGTCCTTGAACTTGATCGGGGCCTTTGGAGCATCGGAGGGCTTCAGCTTCGCAGCTTCTTCTTCCGCGGCCTTCTTTCCCTTTTCAAGCTCCTCTGCAGCAGCCTTTGCCTCTGCCAAAGCCTTCTCATGGGCCTTCTTGGTCTCTTCGGCTTCCGCGGCCGCCTTCTTCTCGGCCTCCTCGCGTGCCTTTTGCGCTGCTTCGAGCAGTGACTTTGCCTTTTCCGCAGCGGCTTTCTTCTCTTCGGCAATCTTGGTGGCCTCTGCATCTGCGGCTGCCTTTTCGGCTGCACGAGCCGCGTCCGCGGCCGCCTCACGCTTGAGTTGCTCGTCTTTCTGGGCAAGGATAAGGCTCTCGAGCTTGGCGAGCTTATCCTCGTCGCCCCTCTTCTTTGCCTCGGCAGCTTCCTGTGCAGCCTTCTCAGCCGCCTCTTTCTTTGCCTTCTCCTTCTCTATTTTGGCTTCTTGCTGAGAGATGAGCAGGTTCTCAAGGCGATCAAACTTGGCCAGCTCGGCGTCTCTTCTCGCCTTCTCGGCTGCCTTTCTCTCTTCCTCCTCTTTGCCTAGCAAGAGCTTCTCAAGCTTAGAGAGCATGCCCTCTTCTTTTGGGTCGGGTTGCGGAGATTGTTGAGGCGGTGGCGGAGGCATCATGGCCATGGGGTGCATCTGTTGCATGAGCTGCTGGTGCATGGGCTGCTGCATGAGTTGCTGCTGCATCTGTTGTTGCTGCATTGGCTGCTGCATTGGCTGCTGCATTGGCTGGAGCTGCATCTGCATAGCCGGAGTTTGAGGGGGCTGGGGTTGTGGGGGTGGTGGGGGTGGAGCAGGCGCGGCGGGCGGATGGTGTTCTTCTTCGGGCTGGGGCTTCGGGGTAGGGCGCTTCGAGGGAGGGTGCTGCGGCGGAGGGGAGGGATGCTGTGCATGTCCATAAGGCGGATACATGTGAGGCGGCATGCCATACGGTGGGGCGCCGTATGGTGGGTAGTAGCCCATTGGCGAATAAGGCATCATGTCCCCCGGGGGCGCTGGCGGCATGGAGTTGCGATGGCCTCTGCGCGGCGGACGCGAGTCCTGATGGCGCGAGTCCTGGTATTCGGGAAAGTAGCCGGCTCGCGGATCTGCAGCCGAAGGGGGGCCCTGGGTAAAGGGATTCTGTCCATTAGGCGCAAAGGGATTCTGGGCATAGGCGGCGTGTGTGTCGTGGCCAAACGGAACCAGCTGGCCCGCAGGCGACTGGGTGCCACCGCCGGGGAAGGCATATGGGAAGCGTGGATCCGACATCAAGCTCGGGGCGTAGCCGTTGGGGGCATGCTGGGGAATGTGGCCCCAGCCAGCACTGGGATGGCCCGGAGGGTGGCCAGGGCGGGCCGACGGGGCGTATGGGTAGTCGTCGTCGTCATCCTCGCCGTCGAGAGGGTCCTGGTGGTGGACGGATTGGGGCCTTGGCCGCCGCGGCCTGCGTGCGCGCTCCAGCTTGCTGCGGCTGCGGCTGCGGCTGTGGCTCGGGAGGCGCGAGGGAGGGTCTGGTACGGGGGCTGCGTGGCGCGAAGAGGCTCGGTCGCGGTGCGAGGGCTTGGGTCGAGGTGCTCGCGGGGGGGCTACAGCAGGTGGGGGGATCGCGTGGTGCGGCGCAGGCTGACGGTGGACAAGGCGAGGGCGCGAGGCAGAGTCGGAAGGGTTGATCTCGTCGATGTAGTCCCACGAGCCCTCGTCCTCTTCGTTGTCGTCTGTGTCGTCCTCTGGGATGTCGTCGTCGCTCTGCTCCTCCTCGGCGTCTTCGTCGGTCGCGTCCGAGGTGCTGTACTCGTCCTCGCTGGCCGAGACTACCTGGATGCCGGCCGAGTCGTCGTCGGTGAAGTCGTCGTCGTCGTCTTCGAAGGCGCCCGTGTGGTTGTTGACAGTGATTCCCTTCCGGAGTCTGATGGCCACGTTAGTGTCGCCCTTGACATGATAGCGGCGCGACGCAGCCTGGGGCAGGGCGCGACCGTGGGGCAGATGGGCTAGGACTAACGGCATGACCTTGTCCGGGCGGCGGGGTGCGGGCGATGGGATGGATGGGAGGGGAGGGGAGGGGATGGGATGCAATGCAACGGCCAAGGTGGAGCAGTCGAGGGGCTGCGAAGTGCGGGCGCGAGGGCCAGAAGCGCTGCACTACAACAGTCTGTACAGCAGTTACAGCAACGACACACGCTGGGTGCGACCGGCAGACGGCGGTCGTGCGGGACAGTCGCTGTCTTGGGGCGGGCAGGAGAGCAGAGAGCGCTGGGCGGCTGAGCGGGTGAAGCGAGTCCAGCACTGGAGTTGGGTTGGGCCGCTGCCGTTGTGCTAGCGCGTCCACCTGGCCAACACGGAAAAGGCGATGCTGCCCCAACTCTCCAACTCTGATGCAGATGTCGGGCAAAGCTGTGTGCCGACACGTGCATGGTCTGGCGACGGGCCGTGGATGTAGCCGTGGGCAGACGCAGCTGGAGTCCGACGACGACGACGGCCATCTGCCTCTTAACCTCACCCAACCCGCCTCGCACTGCTGCGAGTTATCCACGCCTCGTCTAGGCGGCTACGTGTCCAGCTCAGCAGCCTCACTGACCGCCTGGCTGCCCGACTCAAATGCACTCATGCCAACGGCCACGTGTAGCGCCCACTGCTTGCTTCTTCGACACCAACGTCACCGGTGCGGCAGTCGACTTGGCCTAGGCTGTGGGCCTGGCGTGCAACGAGTTCCCGCCCACCATCACGACACCCAACGTCAAGACAGCAAGCTCAGAGCTATTCATCACGCATACCCTAGCCATCTGTGAGACCGAGTCTCGCTGCACCCAGTGTAAGAAGGCGACCATAAGTCGTCACTAAATGCGTCATGAGAATTGGTATCTAATATGCATCCACAAACGCCTCGCAATGCAAGTGACTTCTCGCCTATGCTTCCTAACCCTCCTCCTCGCCCTCAGTTGTGCCGTTTGCCAGGCTTCTTCTCGGTACCTCGAAAACGTGAATGCCGTTCTTGGCCTTTGCAGACATCCATCTGGCTAACCTGGGCTCCTTGCCCACGGCAGCCACCACGCACAGCCCATCCTTGCCTCTGTCTCCTCTCTCCTGAACTGCAAGACCATTCACAATGCCTCGTATGAGAATAGCATCGTCCCTAGAGCTGCCATTGACCATGGACTCGTCTTCCGCAATCGGCACACGTCCTATCTTGCCCGCGGGCTCAATGCTCTTCTTGTCGGCTGTAATCCTCCAGGCGCGTATCCAGCCGTCCCAGCTCGCTGTGAGGATCAAGTCGGCAAAGGGAACGGTAGCAAGCGCAGTCACGTAGCGCGGTAGCCGCGGACCGGGCTTCGTCGATGTTGCGGCGTCGTCGTTGGCTGACATTTGCTCGGGCGAGAGCGGTGGATCGCGGCCATGGGTAAGTGGATATGTAAAAAGGGGCTTCTTCCGGTTGACAGACCACAACGACAAGGCTCCATTGTCCGATGCTGTGACAAACAAGCCGGCGTCGAGAAGGCCGACGCAATCGATGGAGCCTTCGGCATATGCCATGGGCGCATCGTCGAGGTTGGCGCCGACGTCTTGATCCTGTTTGTCGTCTCCGTCAACATTCTTGCCAAATCGGCCTTTGCGCAGCTTGTCCAAGCCCTTTTGCCTGGCCGTACCGCCTCCGTGGAAGACGAGCTGGTTTTCCTCGACGACCCTCCACAGGCGCGCAGTGCGATCGCGGGCGCCTACACTGACGCATGTCTCTTGGTTCATCTCCAACCCGCCTGCGACACCAATGACGGCGTCCTGGTGTCCGACCAGTGTCTCAATGTACGCAGATTCAGGCGCACTCCAGACAATGACTGCTCGGTCTGCGCCGCCGGAGAAGAGCTGCTCGGTGCCCCTCCGGAAGGACAGTGAGAGAACGGCATCTCGATGGCGAGTAAAGAGGTGTCGGGGCGTGAGGGTGTCGGCGTCCCAGATGACCAGACGCGCATGCACATCGCCCGTGGCCAGGTACTTTCCCGAGTCGGAGATGGCTATAGACACAATCTCGCCCGTGTGACCCAGAAAGGCGCGGTCGCCCTTTTTGTTCTTGTTTCCCTTGCGCCACAGAAGCCTCTTGGGAGTGGTGCGCGGCGTCAGGTTGGACGGTCGGTTGGGGTCGGGCGCATACGATTTCGGGTCTGCAATTGCCCACTTCTCGACGACGAGATCCTTGCTGATGGTCCAGGCATGCGGCAGCTTGACAGCGCATCCGGTGGTGGCTTTTTGCAGCCCTGAGTAGGCCGTGGCGTGTGATGCATATTCAAACCCAAGCTCAGCAGCGATGGATCGGTATATCCTGCCCTTGCCCTCCGCAACATCTTCCTTGAGTCGCTCGGCGATCAGGTCCTTGTCGATCTGCTCGGCGTCGAAGCCCACGTCCTCCTCGACCTCGTTGCGGATGTTGTCGAGATAGCGCTCGGCCAGCCTGAGGCGCTTGTCCGCCGCCGTCTCGTGCTCGTCTTCCGAAGAGCTAGCGCCGCTGTCTGCATCGTCGCCGCCGTCGAACGTGGGTGCGCCGTCGCCCTCGGATGTGTCGCTGCCGCTGATGGACTCCTCGCGCTGCATGCGGCGAGCATGCGCGTCTGTGGTGCGTCGTTTGGGGGCGCCGGCGGTGGCTTCGCTGCGCTTGCGTTTCCGCTGTGAGGCCGGCGCGGTGAAGAAGGACGACGACATTGCGGTTGCGGGTGTGGTTGCAGGAATTTGATCGGCCAACTTTTTTCGAAGGCTAACTTTCGCCGCGGAAATGGCGTCTTGGTCCAAGCTCGCTCACATACATGGACAACACCAAGGCCATCGCCGTGGCCATCACCACCGACGTCTCCCATTCCGACACTCACTCCACCCAACGCGGACAGACCCTTTCGCTGGCTGCGCACACATTCACGCCGTCTTGACTCTGCAGCAAACTCGGCTGCCTTAAAGTACCGCCCGCCGCCCTCACGCGTGCCATCACCTCCGCCTCCACACGCCGCCGCTCCTCCGCAACGTCACCCACGCCGCCGCACATGTCCACCATGAGCGGAAGCGGCGACCAGGAGCGCGAGCACGCTCTCGAGGCCTACAAGTCCAAGCTGCTCGAGTCTAGAGAATGGGAGGCCAAGCTCAAGGCGCTGCGACTGGACATCAAGGGCCTGCAGCACGACTTTGACGTATCCGAAGACAACATCAAGGCGCTGCAGAGCGTCGGCCAGATAATAGGAGAGGTGCTGAAGCAGTTGGACGAGGAGCGATGTACGTGCACGTGTGCATCCTGCCAAAAGACGCCACACTAACGTCGCCGCAGTCATTGTCAAGGCATCCTCGGGGCCCCGTTACGTCGTCGGATGCCGGTCCAAGGTCGACAAGGCCAAGCTCAAGCAAGGCACACGCGTGGCCCTCGATATGACGACACTTACCATCATGCGCATGCTTCCCCGCGAAGTTGACCCGCTCGTCTACAACATGTCGCTCGAAGACCCAGGGCAGGTCAGCTTCGGCGGCATCGGCGGCCTGAACGAGCAGATTAGGGAGCTACGCGAGGTCATCGAACTGCCGTTGAAGAACCCCGAGCTGTTTCTGCGGGTAGGCATCAAACCGCCAAAGGGAGTGCTACTCTACGGACCGCCAGGCACGGGCAAGACACTCCTGGCACGCGCCGTGGCAAGCAGTCTCGAGACAAACTTCCTCAAGGTCGTCAGCTCTGCCATTGTCGACAAATACATTGGAGAATCGGCGCGTCTCATCCGTGAGATGTTTGGGTACGCAAAGGAGCACGAGCCCTGCATCATCTTCATGGACGAGATTGATGCTATTGGCGGTCGTCGCTTCTCCGAGGGAACGTCGGCAGACCGTGAGATTCAGCGAACCCTCATGGAGCTGCTGAACCAGCTCGACGGCTTCGACTACCTAGGGCAGACCAAGATCATCATGGCGACGAACCGACCCGACACGCTCGACCCCGCTCTGCTTCGCGCCGGGCGTCTTGACCGCAAACTCGAAATCCCCCTACCCAACGAAGTGGGCCGTCTTGAGATTCTGAAAATTCACTCTGGCAGCGTAGTGACGGATGGCGAGATCGACTTCGAGAGCATTGTGAAGATGAGCGATGGCATGAACGGTGCCGACCTTCGCAACGTTGTCACCGAGGCGTAAGTGTCTCTTCCGTGTAACTGTGACATGGCTAACACATCGCAGCGGCCTCTTCGCCATCAAAGATTACCGAGACTCGATCAACCAGGACGATTTCAACAAGGCAGTGCGGAAGATGGCCGAGTCGAAGAAGCTAGAGGGCAAGCTGGACTACCAGAAGCTATGAGCCAGCACCTACGCTTGGATGGTAATGATGATGTGAAGATTAGCCATGGGCATCATGTACGATAGCATCATAGAAAGAGGCTGGAGCAATGATTCGTCTGCCCCACTCTGTTTATCCGATTCGTGATGAGTCCAATGCGTACATACATTTCCTCGCACAGCGCCAGAAGAGCAGGCGATGCCCTTGCGTTATGATAGCACTTGAATTCGAAACAGGAGAAAAGAAAGCAATGGGTGGGCTTTCCACACCGTCTGCGAACATGACAACAGTATTCTGCTGAGGCGTGATCACAATGCATGGATACCCGTGAACGGCGTGCTAGCGTACCTGACGTATCCCGCAAAACTCTCCGACTGTCCGACAAGCGCGTGTGATAGTGCAACGTCACGCGTTTAGACGCGGCATCATTCCAAGGTTCGATTATTCCAAGCTTGGGCCTGCGACAACCAACCCGCACCACCCCGGCGGTCTCAATTGCATGCCCATGATGGAAATGGACGGGTCTCAGTCGCCGAGCAAGGCGAAGCGTTCGCGTACCGAAATGGAGGCTGACAGCGCCGTCTCTGCAAAGAAAGCTCCTGTGCAGGCTCTGGATGACGGTATGTCCCTTGTGCATCCGTTGCGCGTCAAGTTTCTAACAACCTCCCCAGACGATACTTCCTCCTCCGACGATGACTTTGGTCCCGCCCTTCCGTCTTCAGCGCCGAAGCGAAAAAAGCGCAAACTGCCCTACGAGAAGCTTTACGTCGCTGCGCTGCCCGGCGCGACCCGCTACTCCAAATCGCTAATGCACCGCGAGCAATTGTGCTTTACCACCTTTACCCCCCACACCGACTTCCTCATAACGAGCTCTGTCGACGGCGTGGTCAAGTTCTGGAAAAAGGACTTTGGCGGCGTAGAGTTTGTCAAAGAATTCAGGGCGCATACCGGGGAGATCAAGTCTGTCAACGTGAGCGCCGACGGCCGTAGCTTTGCTACCTCCGGCTCGGACAAGACAATCAAGATCTTCGATGTCGTCACCTTCGATCTGCTGGCCATGCTGAGCGTCGAGTACACGCCTAGAGCGGTTTGCTGGCTGCACGGCCGAGGCGCAAGCTTTCCTCAACTGGCCGTCAGCTCCGAAGAAGACAGTTGGATCCGCATTTACGATGGCAGAGGGGAGAATCCAGAGCCGTTACACATGCTCAGGAGCATTCACAGGGCGTCAGTGAACCTAATGGCATACAATAGCGAATTCGACTGTGTTGTGAGCGTCGATCAAGGTGGTATGGTGGAATACTGGAGGCCCAATGGAAACTTTGAGAAGCCAGACAATGTTTGGAGGCTGAAGAGCTCTACCAGTCTGTTCGACTTCAAGAAGTCAAAAAGTGTGCCCTCGTCGCTTACCATATCTCCCACGGGGAAGCAGTTTGCGACGCTTTCATTCCCGGATCGCAAGGTCCGCGTCTTCGACTTTGCCACCGGCAAACTTCATCGCACGTACGACGAATCAATCGAGACCATCACCAGCATGCAACAGGCTGGTACCGCTGTCCAGCATCTGGAAGACATGGAGTTTGGTCGACGCCTAGCCATCGAAAGAGAGCTCGACCAGCCTATGGCGAGGTGTCGCATGAATGTGACATTTGATGAGACAAGCAATTTCATCCTGTACGGCAGCATGTACGGCGTCAAAGTGATCAACACACTGACCAACAAGCTCGTGAAGCTGTACGGCCAGGAAGAATCCATCAGACCGCTATGGCTGTGCCTCTACCAAGGGCAACCAGAGAAAAAGGGTGTTGTCACTGTCGAAATGGCAGCGAGCGAGAACCCGTTACTACAGGAAGCCGAGGCCAGAGATGCCATGCTCGTCACTACAGGTTCTGGCAAGGTCCGTTTCTACATGTACACTAACGATGCCAGCGCTACCAAGTCGACCCGTGATGTGCAGAACGAAAAGCCTCGCGTTGCTGCCTCCAGCAAACAAAGAGACGACAAAGCACTCGCCGCAACAGGCACTACAGCTACTCTCCACACCACCTACGGCGATATTACCATCCGTCTCTTCCCGGACGCCGCTCCCAAGGCCGTGGAAAACTTCGTCACACACGCGCGCAACAACTACTACAACAACGTCATATTCCACCGCGTGATCCGCAAATTCATGATACAGACTGGTGACCCACTTGGTGACGGCACTGGTGGAGAGAGTATTTGGGGCAAGGAGTTTGCAGATGAGTCCTCCAACTTGAGACACGACAAAGCCTACACAGTGAGCATGGCGAATGCCGGCCCAAATTCGAACGGAAGTCAATTCTTCATTACCACCGAAAAGACGGTAAGTCCTTGTCTTCTCGTTTACTTTCAGTTTCACGATGAGGCGGTGCGCTGACTGTGACATGTATGCAGCCCTGGCTTGACAACAAGCATACCATCTTCGGACGAGCGATTGCTGGGATGGATGTTATTCACAAAATCGAGAATACCAAAGTATACAAAGAGAAGCCGGAGGAGGATATTAAGATCATAAGCATTTCCATTTCTTGAAAACGCGGTCTCGAGACGGACGCCCGAGCTCATTGCGTGGAGCAACGTCATGCTTGTACATTAGCTTGGATGGTCATGTGGGCTGAACATTTGCAAAGCCCCGGTATCTACTGGCACGACCTGAGGTTGCGCGTATGATGGTAAACAGGGAATTCAGCCTGCAGGTGTCACATTTCATATCTGCTTCATGGTCTGCAAGTTCGATACACTGACCACTTCTTGTTATTCCCCAGCTACTAATAATTCGTGCAAGTCTCGATACACGTTCTATTGCTTCAAAGGCCAGCCCACAACCAATGCAAGCACTGTCCCTCCATAGCAGAATGCCAACCCAACCGTGCGCCTGAACCCGCTATTCATTTCAAACGCCTGATAATGAGAAAAATTGCACGTCGTTGCTATTGAAGATCCTGGTATCATATGCGAACGAATGCGAGTGCGCCAATGCCTTTCATGACGCCCCGTTGTCCCAAACCACGCAAAGAATACCGAATGATAAACCCATACACAGAGAGCAGGGGCTCGTAAGGATAGTGCCGTCCCTAGGTGCGAAAACAAGCAGTTGTAAGTTTGATACTTGAAAAGGTGGTTTTGTACGATGCATGACTACTTTGCGACACCTTGGGAAGAAGAGCTGCGTCCCACGGAATGTTGTGCAGGCGCACTAGTGATAGAAGTGCGCTTTTGAGTCTTGACAACGTCAAGTTTCTTCTTAAGAGCCCGTTGCCGGCTTCTCATTTGTTCAAGGACTGCGTTGGTTAGTTGGGTACACTTTGGGGACACTGTAGCGAGACTTACGCTTCTGGATCGAGCGCCGATCTTCGCCGTCGAGGCCATTAATCTCCTCGGCATCAGCCTTCTCGTTGGACGATTCTTCTTCCTCTTCAAGAACAGCTTGAAGCATCGTGATGGCAGTCCAGTAGTTGATATCGCAGTCCGCCAGGTTGTGTCCAGTGAGTTCATCAATGGCTGCCTGGCGACTCATCTCTAGCGACCGGTCATATAATAGTTTCTCAGCGGTAACACCAGTCGTAAGTAGAATGTTCTCCGCGGAACCTACAGCAGTTGCAGAGCTGGATGCCGCCGATTGATTGTGAGGATGGCTTGGATGATCTGCCGGTAGCTGCCCCTGTGCCTGCTTGAGCTTACGTGCGACAATCTCAGATTTGACGCAGCATTCGTTGAATCGATCTCGCATCCATGAGACCACCTGACCCAGCTTTGCATTGGTTCGGCTTGTTCCGTCGGGGCCACTATTACGGCGGGCGCGATTCCAGTAGCTGCCAGTCAGGTCCATAGCCTTGTTCAACATCGCCAACGTCTTGACGAAGAGTACCAGCGCTTCCTCGGAAATGATGAGAATAGTATCAGGCGTCAAATCTTCGTCGTCATCGTCATCGTCGATCACATCGCTGTTGGGCTTGCGAGCAACGCCAGTGGAACCGACTCCTAAAGCTGGGTCGCTTGGTGCAACCGGAACAAGCTGACTGTATTTGACTTCAGCGAAGCCATATACAACGTGGCTGAGCTGGGCCAGATCCTCAATCCTTTTGACCGTCATGGTATCTTCATCTTTGCCAACGGATTTGCCTCCATCGCCGACCATTAGCATGCTGCTTTGCGCAGTGGGATAGGCTGGGAATGCGGAATAGCCCTGTGGGGGTGAGACGCCCTTCATGACCGGCGGAGACAGACCAAGCCCTCGGATATTGACCATGTTCATAGCCTTGGAAAGAGCAGAGGTGGCGGTTTCAAAGCTTGGGCGGTATTGTCGCCGGCTGTAAGAAGCTGTGCGCTGGTGCGTAATGGTAGGCTTTTGCTGAATCTGGATGGCTTTCGAGGGGACTGCGCCAGTGGTTGATGTTGGCGACCCTTGCGTTGTCGATCGTCGCTTCATTGCTGCTTCCCGGTGGAGGGGACGATCCCGCTGTGTTTGTGGACTATTCGCAATCTCGTCTGCCAGTGCGTCAATCTCCACACGCCGTTTTTCCACAAAGACAAACCCCTCGTCAAGCGCGTTATCTTGTGCTGCTCGCTCTGCCGCCTCTTTCAACACGTTTGCTTCCGTCCTCTGTGGGATTCGCTCGCGATCCAGGTGCTCCTTGAGACCGATGTATGGCGGGCCTTGTTCGTCGCGAGAGTACTTGCGCCTGTGGCTGGTGGCAGTAGGTGCTGTCGTCTGGTCTTGCAGCGTCGCAGTACGTCCTGGTGCGGTTGCAGCGTTGGTGAGCGTAGGCCGACGATGCTCACGCGTTGGAGTGCGTCCGTCGTTGGGCTCAATAGGGGCGTTACTAGCTCGTCTTGCAGGCAGATATTGCGGTGGAGTGCCTGAGAAGTTGCCGGATACAGGTCGAGAAGCCGGCCGTGAAGGTGGTGTTGTCCCAAGGCCTGTCGTCCTGTCCCTGGTCGAGATCGAGTATGGACTGTCAGTCGGCCTGGATTCCAGCTCGAGGGGCGCCTTGTGGACTCGCTGGGGTGGCTCAATGGGTGGTTCTAATACGGAGGGTTGCATACGCTCAGACGCTTGCATAGAACCCGGAAGGTCCTCATCGACCATGTCTGGAATCTCATCGCGAATGACGGCATCTGAGAAGAAATGCTCGTATGACATGCGTTCGGTTGGCTTTCGCTTCAAGAGTGCGCGGATAAGGGTCTTCATGGCCCTGGTGCAGACGAGGCCTTCTGGAAATCTGACCTGGTCCTTGCGCTCTTCAATCTTGCGCAGTAGCTCTACGTGGTTGTTCGCCCTGAATGGCGGTCGGGCGCACATCATTTCGAAGAGCACAGTTCCCACAGACCACAGGTCGGCCTTTGCGTCGTACTTTTCATACCGCAGAATCTCAGGTGCCATGTAGAGGGGAGAGCCACACAGGGTTTCGGCCAGCGAGGTAGTCGGCAGAATTCTAGCGAAGCCGAAATCAGCGATCTTGAGCATGGGCAGCGAGGCGATGCCGGTGGCGGGTATCAAGGAATTGGCGCTGGCAGCCAGAGGCATGCGTTCGAGGGTGCCACTCTGCGAGTAAAAGATGGAGGAGGGGTTGAGGAGCAGGTTCTGGGGCTTGAGATCACGATGAATGTAGTTCTTGGACCGCAGGAATTCCAGGGCGCTCGCCATCTGCTTGGCAAAGTGGCGGACGACAACCTCGTGCAGGCCGCCAACGGTCGGGTTCGGGTACTTTTCTATCATGCGCTGCGTCTGCGGGTGGTTTACGAGGTCGGCGCGCTTCTTGATAAAGGCTGACAGGTCGCCGAGCTCGCAGAACTCCATGATGATGTGCATGCGGGACGGCGTCTCGTGGCAGTCGATGAGCGAGACTATGTGCGGGTGGTGCAGACTGCGCAGAATGGAGATTTCCGAGACGAGGTTGTCTTTGAGCTTCTTGTTGAGCTTGTTCATATTGACCGACTTGATGGCGACGGACTGGCGCTTCTCCTGTGCGGCGAGACAGTTAGCACTCGGTGCACGCCCCGGGCAAGGGAGGGCAGCAACGTACAATGTGAATGCCGCGGTAGACTTCGGCGAAGCTGCCCTTGCCAATGTGATGCAGGCGCTTGAACTTTCCGATGACCTGCTCCGAGCCCGTGGCTGCGGGCGTCGACACTGGCGGCGACGCGCCCGACCGCCTGGGGGCGAGCGGGTTGGGGGGTGTTGCCATGGTCGGCGGCGCTGGCTGAGCAGCCGGGCGTCAGCTACCAGCGAAGACGTGGGTACAGCGCGGCCGTGAGGGCGTTGGACATGGGCTGGCGGGAGGCGGGCGGTGGGCGGTGGTCGAGGGCGGCCGATGGTGGTGATGGATGGCCGAGGGACGGGGATGCAGGGCGCGACGAGCAGCTGGGCGCGGGAGAGAAGAGGTTCGGCGCAGGGCGGCAGAGACGAGTGGGAGGGTATGTAGGGTATCGCGAGCGCAGCGTGTCGGGGGAGCGAGGAGCACCACAGGCAGTACAAGAGGCCGACGCCGTGGCTCGAGGCAGGCGTGCGCGTGTCACATGCAGGAAGCCGGCCGGGATGCTTGATAACAACGCGTGCCCCTCATGCGCTAGCACCACATCGCCCGCCTGCACGCTCCAACATGCCTCTTGTCTGGTCGCACGCATTCTGAATGCAAGTCATGCTCCCCTGCGCGAACGACCATGTGGCCGGCTTCATGGTCGGGTCGACCCGTCTATCTACGCCGTACCTGCAGCCCGCCTGATGCGGCGGCGTCGACTGCCTACAGCCTGACACCCCTCACAAGCACCCATAGTATCACTGGCACGATCACGTTGTCGTTGCCGCCTGTGAGGACCGCCTCGTTGAGGCTTGCGCCTGTCGCGCACAGAGCCGCCTTGCCCAGCGTGAGCAATGCGTCGTGAGCCCACTCGCCCTCTGTCCTGTGCCCTGCCGCACCGCTTTCCCACCCGACGCGGAGCCACACTCTACTTACCACGAGTCCAGCCGACACTGCGACTGCAAACGCCAAGGACCCTTCCAGGGACTTGCCGCCTGCCCAGGGCCATTTCCGCCGCCCGTAGCGCCGCCCGACGAGGGATGCTGCTGCGTCGCCCATGCCCACACATATAACTCCCGCCACCATACTCACGTCCCTGTCTTCCACCTCCCAGCCTTGCCACGGCTCCTCGCCAGCCCGTTCCACTCCTGCGAGCGATAGCCACAGCGGGATCGCACACCCAATCAAGAGGAAGATGTGCGACACCACCACGGGGCCTCGGAGATCGCGGCCATCCACGTACGGCGTCAGGAACCTGGCAATGGGCTTGGACAGCGGCGGAAGCTGCGAGGCGCGAATCAGATCGAGGAGGAGGAATATCGCAAGTACCAGTGCAAGCGCCAGCGCAACAAAACAAGGGTCGATGAAGATGGTCGGCAGGAGCATCGCCACCATGGTGCCGTGGAACACCTTTCTGCGTGTGTCGACTTCTACCACTGCAGAAAGCGAAAAGACCGCTACGAGGCCAGCGAGTATGGTTCCTGCACAGTACACGCACAGCAAGAGACGCGTAGTCGCTTCTCCCAGTACTATGCGGCGAACATATTCCGCCAACGACAGATGGTGTGTGAGTCGGGCCATGTCATCTGCGTGCCGTCTTGTCGGCAGAGGAACCCACCAGTTCAAATCCCACGTGAACACTTCCCACCGCACGCGTGATATATTGCCGAAGAGGTAGCTGATGGCCCATCCAAAAGGTTCGTGTTGGTGAAGAGCATATTTGCCGATACTATACCGAATTGGTCCCAGTATCAGGCCTACCACAATCACGTAGAAGTATCCAGCGTAGAGCCATTTCCTCATTGTGGCTTCGGTGGGCGTGAGCGATAAATAAGACTGCACAATCGATCCCGACTGTCTTCGGTTCGAATATCGATGCTGTGACGTATGGTCTTCAGCAACGAGGACTGGGAGGGTATTCCTACGCTTACGTCCACTGTTAGGAGTGGACCCTGCTGCAGAAGTAGACTGCTGAAAACCAGTCTTTGTCGCTTCGGCGGCGGACCGCGGCTCGCTGCCCTCCATGCAGGGTTTGATGTGTCTGACCGAGTCTAAAACGTTGACTTTAAGGCTCTTGGTCTTTTGGAGGGGCTTGTCGAATCTGGGTTCTTCATCCGCATCACTGTCACTCACATCTTTCCAGGAATCGCTTCCATCGCGTTTGGATCCCAGACTACGGGTCAACACCTGCAAGAAGTTCTGTCGAGCTCGAATGACTTGGCCAGCACGTCGAAGCCTCCATCGCGGAATGCGTGCAAGTGCAACGCCCCACTTCAAGATGTTGCCGCAGAGCAAAAACACCCCCAGCCCGCCTAGCCACAGTAAGACACCGAGTATGGCTGCTTGAGGGGTGTCTGAGAACAAGAGGAGGTTGATAAGCCCAATTGAAAGCAGGTGCAGCTCTGCTGGTAGAAGGCTCGTAGTGGTGAGGTAGTATAGCGGCGGTAGCAGCGCTTGATGCAGAGCAAACAACGTCACCAGAAGTTCGGGATCTAGACCTTGGTTAGGCGGGGGTAACTTGAGTTTGTATGGTGTCTGTGCAAACAGCCGAGACGGTATGTCGGTGTTCTCGGCAGCGATCAGGGGCATGATGGAGACCAGCCAGTGCAGAGGAGAGTAGCCCAAGGTAGCGCTCCTGAAGGGAATAAGTCTGGCTGGCAACGCAGCTAAGCCGAGCAACATGTTGGGTAGAAGAGGCTTTGGTGATGAGGCAAAGAGTGACAGCGCAATGAGGACGGGCAGTATTGGGGGGTAGAGGATGGTGGCAGGATCGAAGGCGGCTGGTAGATGTATTCGACGGCCAAGCCGGAGACGAGAGTGATTTCTCCATGAGTAGTACAGAAGACGAAGCGGATACAGTCCCAAGACGCCGGCCATGATTGCAACGTGCGTCAACATTTCTACTAGACACGGGTTAACGACCTTGGGCCCATGCGTGGGGGGTGAGCTGACCTCTATGCCATGCCAGCAAATTGACCCAGCAGTCGCAACCGCGGACGGCGAGCGTGGCAATGCCCGCGAGCAATGCAGTTTCGGTCGTTCGCCTGACCAGCTCGTTGCGCCGCCGCTGGAGATACTTTTGCTTGGCCCTCCTCGCCTCGTCGTCGTCGCTGTGGTATGCGTCTCCCTTGCGCCTCGTCCGGTTGGTGCGAGCGAAGTAGCCCTCGAAGAGCTTTCTCCCCTCGTCGTCGATCTGTGTGGGAGTGAGCAGCGGACTCGCCCATTCGTCTGGGCCCGACGTCCGCGATTCGCGGAGGCCTTTGTGCGGTCGCAGGGGAGGAGCAGGCAGCGCCTTGACGAGGCTGTAGCCCTCGTCGTCGGCTTCGGTGCCGCTTTCGCTCGGGGAGTGCGGTGCCCGTTTCCTGCGTGTCCTGCCGTCCTTGTCGTGCATTGTCTTGCCTGGAGGCTCGGAAGAGGGTCGCGACTGCGAGGGCCGAGGGGCGCGATGCGTCGGGCCTGGTGACTGCCTCTGTGTCTGGTCTCCGTGACGCAGGTATGGATGGGGTGAGCGGCGGAACTGCTCGAGCTCTACCGTGTCATCTAGCGCGAGCGCGAGCGCGTCTGCGTCTGCGTCTGGGTTCGCGTCTGCGCATGTGCCGGATCGCGGCATCCTTTGCGCCATGACGGCTCTGGCGGCTGCGCGCAACTCGATACCGAGCTTCCGACAACCCTTGGAAGTATCGTGGAGGCTGGCGCTGTGTCTATTGCGATACAATGCTCGAGCGCCACAAAGTCAACGTGAGGTGGTGGCGTTCCGATTGTACTCTTCACAGAGCCACCTGCATGGCCGAACTGGCGGTCCCACGTTCGGCAAGCTGACGTAGCCACCCTTCTGGACAGATTCATGGTACATGCTAGCTTCATCACGCACCGGCTCCCTGGGTATCGCGCACTCTTCTTCATAGCGTTGGCGGCATGGGTCTTTGATTTCTTCATCTATATTGTACAGCCATTTCTCACAACAGTGCACCGACAGGGGCGCCTACTGCAGATACTTGTGTTCCTTCAACCACGTCTTGACATCGTCCGCATCCCTCTCAAGCCATGCGGCTTTGGCGCTGATGGCGTCGATGCTCTGGGACAGCGCCATATCAAAGCCCTTGGTGCTCTTGCCCTTGAAGAACGCCTCAATGTCCTCTATGTGTTCCCGGTGGGTGAAGCCTGATGTTGTAATGGCAACCACCGAACTTAGCATGCTCAGGCTAGGGGGGAGCCTTCTCTCCAGCTCCTCCCAGTTATCCTTGACCCACTTCCAGAGCGCATGACAGCCCTCCGCGTGTGACCTCAATGCTGCAATGGGCAAGTAGATGTCTTGGCCCTTGACTTCGTCGCTGAGAGCCATGGCAAGCGTGCGCTGAATGAGCTCTGGAGACTTGGCACGGCCTAGTGCGCGAAGAGCCGAGTTGCGCTCGTCGCTTGTGGCGGCATTCCGAGTCTCGTTGACGATGACATCGTACTGCGTCTGGTCAGTCTGCATTCCATTCATCCTCGTAGCACTGCTTACCTCTTCTTGCCCACCATTCGCTAGCACAATGGCATACACGCTGCCGCGGATGTTGGGGTGAATGGCAGACTTGTCGCCTGCCTTGAACTTGTCAAACATGTCAAAGGATGCCTTGGTAATGTCCTCGTCGCCAGCGATACCGGCAGCACCAAACATGAGACCCTTGAACTGCTGCTCGATGTGACCGTCTTTTTCATTGAATGCCCATCCCAGCTCATGTGCCTTCTCTGCGCTGAGCTCCAACTGGAACTTCTTCAGAGCGTCCCGGATCTTCTGGTCCTCAAACATCCATGCACCCCGGAGGGAACTAATACGACCCGTGATCTCTCCCCAGACGACAAACTCTGCTTCGTGTTTGAAGCTGTCAAGGAGCGAGAGTATACCAGACGTTTTCTGGTAGCCAGATGCCGCCAGCGAGCCTGCGTCAGCAATCATGCCAGCTCGATCCTCAACGGTCAAGAGGCCCTCCTTGGCCGAGATGCCCAGCTTCCGTAGGCGCTCTGGCGTGTACGAGGTCCGGTAGAGGCCAGAGTGGTCCGCATTAAGCTTGAAGAAGTCGAGTTCCTTGAGCTTAAAGTCGGCTTCACGATCGAAAAGCGTCAAGTCTTCGTCAACTCCTTCCTTGGTCCGCAGCGCAAGGAATACGGGGTACAGGGTTTGATCCTCCTCTGGCTTGACATCGGCAGTGCGGAGGAAGCGGTTCTGCTTAAGGTGGATGGAATCAGTGCCTTCCGTGACGGTAACGACTGGGAAGCCGACCTTCTTGGTCCAGATGTCCATGACCTTGCCAACATCCTTGCCGCTGGCATCTGCTAAGGCAGCCCAGAGGTCACCAGTCTCTGTGTTGCCATAGGCGTGCTTTTTGAGATACCGGCGGATTCCTTCCATGAAGGTGTCCTCTCCGACATATTTGGAGATCATGCGGATGACACTCGAGCCCTTGGAGTATGAGATGGCATCGAAGATCTGGTTTATCTCGTCTGCGCGCTTTACCGGTACCTCGATGGGATGGCTGCTTCGTAGCGAGTCGAGCGAGAGTGCGCTGGCTAGATTGTCTGTAACATAGCCTTCCCAGACTTTCCAGTCAGGGTAGAAGACATTGCAGGAATACCACGACATCCACGTTGCAAATCCTTCATTAAGCCACAAGCCGTCCCAGAAGTCCATGGTCACGAGATTACCAAACCACTGGTGGGCAAGCTCGTGCTGCACCGTCTCGGCGACGCGCTGCTTGGTAGCTGCCCCGCTGACCTTTTCGTCAATGAGCACGTCGACGACACGATATGTGACGAGGCCCCAGTTTTCCATGGCACCTGCACTGAAGTCGGGAATCGCGACCATGTCCATTTTGGGCAGCGGGAAGGGACTGTCAAAGGTTTTTTCGTAGAATGCCAGCGTCTTTGCCGCCAGCTCGAGCGAAAAGCGGCCGTGCTCGATGTCCCGATCCTTTGGCGCATAGACTCGCACAGGGACGCGGAAGTTGTTCGTCTCGATGTAGTTGAGCTCACCGACAATGAAGCACAGGAGGTAGGTCGACATGAGAGGCGTCGGGCTGAAGGTGACGGCCTTGCGCCTTCCGCCCGAGATGGTGCTTTGGATCTGTTTCTCCGACGCTACGTCCATGTTGCTGAGACAGGTCATCTTCTCATCGGCGATGAGGGTGACGGTGAATTTGGCCTTGAGCGCGGGCTCGTCGAAGCAAGGAAACGCCCGCCTGGCATCTGTGGGCTCCATCTGCGTCGTGGCCATGTATGTAGTGGAGCCGTCGGCAGCCTTGAAGGAGGAGCGGTAGAAGCCGGCCATGTTGTCGTTCAGCACTCCGGCGAAGGCCATGGTGAGCTTCGCCTGGCTACCGCCCGGAATGGTCTGGTCGAAGCTGACCGTGGTCGTCTGCGCATCGTCGTCGGTGGTGACATGAGGCGACTCGGTAATGACTTGCTGGCCGGCCGTGACCTTGGTCGAGTGGATCTTGAGCTCGTTGGTGTTGAGGGCAATGGACGTGGTGTCGTCGACGACATCTAGACTGGCCGAGTGTCAGCAGGGCCCTCCTCATACGGGCGGACGGGCACATACTCGATGGTGACAGTGCCCTGGTAAGTGAAGTTGGCAAAGTCGGGCTCGAGTGTGAGGTCGTAGTGGACGGGCTTGACGTTGGCGGGCAGCACCTCGCGACCCTTGGTGATGTCGATGGACGCGTGGCCCTCTGCGCCGAAGTGCTTGCACATATTTCGTCGGTGGGAACAGTGCCTTGCGGGGACAAGGGCAGGGTGACGGGAGGGTGGTGGGGGACGAGGGACCGGGCGAGGGCTGTTGGTGGGGGGAGGAGAGAGTCGCGCGTTCGGTGTGAGCGTGTGCAGTAGCGTCCGCCGTGGCTTCAGTCGGCGGCTGGGAGCGGCCAGAAGACGTCCATGGTAGGTGAAGCGGTGCATCTGGCTTCTCGTGTGCTGTGTCGCGACCTGTCCCCTGCGCCGCGAGAGCTCGACGTCCTCCAGCGCTCTCTTCGCGGCCAGATGCAGCCTAGCTCGCATCGGGGCCGTGTCCACTATATAAGCCAGGCCGACGTCGCGTTGCGTTCCGGCACCACGCAAGAAGCTCGACGACGTCTCCCGCTCCTGGGGACGCCGTGTGTTCTGGCACTGCCCCGGCACTGCCAGTCTTGCTAGAGAGAAGCAGCCCTCGTTTGAGCCCTTTTGCAATTCCTGCATGAGCGAAAGGGTATAGAAGTAGGGCTACATTGCTGCGTATCACGGACGAAGTCTCTTCCACGCGGGACCCTCTGCACTGCCTGCCATGCCATGTGATGCCGCACTGCCAGTCGCAGCCTGCACCTCTCGGATACACTCGCCTTCGCATGCAAGGCGATGTGCGAGAGCAAAATACAGTCCGGAGGCGTCATGGCAGCCTCGTCCAATGATAGCGCACGTGATGTGGATTAGTTAGCTTGGAAATTGGAAAATGGTCTCGCACCAGTTCTCCGCCGCATCACCATCGCCGCCAACCCATTGCTCGCGTCTCCCCCAGCCCCGAGCCAGCTTCTCATGACCATGTTGGCTCGCTCACCACTGCGTACGGCACGCTCCGCCGCCGCCGCCGCCCGCAATGCCTCGAGCAAACCGGTACGCCTCCCGCATGGCCCAGCATCTCCCGGCAGCTGGCGCAAGCTGCATCGCCGTACTGCTGGCCCGGCTGCCATACTCGGGCCAGCCCCCGCTTCCATTGAATCATCTGGCTGACCCAGTGCGTGATACAGCGCTTCGCCTCGACATGGTCCTCCGCCGACAGCGCCGCCTCGGCCTGGAAGAACAACGCCCTGCCCGCCGGAGCGACTCTCTTCGCCGTCGGCTCGACTGCCTGGTACTGGCACCTCTACGGACGCCACGTCGATGCCATGACCCCCGCCGAAGAAGGGTGAGTGCGCCCCAGATAGCCCGGCCCGCGGCCATGTACTGACGTCGTGCCTGTACAGCCTCCACCCGACCCAATACCCGTGGGAGCACGAGAAGTGGCACAAGACCTTCGACCACGGAGCGTACGTCTTCCCCACCGCACCGCACATGCCCGCCCCCTAACCTGTCACAGTCTCCGCCGCGGCTTCCAGGTCTACCGCGAGGTCTGCGCCTCGTGCCACTCCATCTCGCGTGTGCCCTACCGCGCCGTCGTCGGCAAGTTCATGACGGTTGACGAGGCCAAGGCCCTGGCCGAGGAGAACGAATACGACACAGAGCCCAACGACCAGGGCGAAATCGAGAAGCGCCCCGGAAAGCTGTCCGACTACATGCCCGCTCCCTACAAGAACGACGAGGCCGCCCGCGCTGCCAACAACGGTGCCCTGCCTCCGGATCTGTCCCTCATGGTCAAGGCCCGCCACGGCGGCTGCAACTACATCTTCAGCTTGCTGACCGGCTACCCCGAGGAGCCGCCTGCTGGTGCCGTTGTCCAGGAAGGCCTCAACTTCAACCCCTACTTCCCCGGCACTGGAATCGCCATGGCCCGTGTGCTGTACGACGACTTGGTTGAATACGATGATGGCACCAAGGCTTCGACTTCGCAGATGGCCAAGGACGTCGTCGAGTTCCTCAACTGGACCGCCGAGCCCGAGATGGACGACCGTAAGAAGATGGGCTGGAAGGTTCTTGCCGTCACCAGTGTCCTGTTCGCCCTCAGTGTCTGGGTCAAGAGGCAAGTATTTGCAGCTCCGCCACTTTACCCACATGACTAACAGCCACGACAGGTACAAGTGGGCCCCGCTGAAGACGAGGAAGATCGTCTACCAGCCACCGC